GCGAACGATGGAAATAATCCTGTTGTACTCCCGTCAAACCGAGATTCGACGAGTTTAACAATTTCGCGACAACCGCGCGCGAAGAGCTTTGTTAGTAAAAGTCGGTCACTCACCGCTCGCCGAACGTCCTCGGTGAAGCCGACGACAGTCTCCTGCCTGCGTGGATCAACGGTCCAGCGCTGGTTCTCCTCCGACGCTGCTCTGCGGCTTCCGGATGTGTGTGCGCGCGATACAAAACTACGGATGCAATCCTCTGGGTCCATATTCATAGTCCGTACATATTTCAAGACCGTTTTAAGCAATGTTTTGAAGATGCTAGTTTTTAATTCTATTATATATATTTTTTTCTTTGGTTCTGCGCTTCGGTAGTCGCCGCGTCGGACTTTTACAAAATAACAGGCAAGACGGAAATATTTTGTTTCTACATGATTTTCAAAAATAAAACTTGTCCGCCAACGGTCATTACAGAAATCTTCACGCGGCCCTTTCGACTGAAAAGATTTGAGGAACCTTAGCGGAAAACATTTCTATATAATAAATAACTACAAAAATTGACTTGAAATAGAAATTTGTAGAAATGTTTGTATCTTCGTTGAAACATAAATTTTTTTGTAAAAATATCTACGAAATAGTACCACAAATTACAATGTTCTCAAATCAAGAAATTATTGCGGGTAGTATTGCAGGAAAATGTACAATTTTATAAAACTTGGTACAAAACTTTACTAGTTTTAAAAATTTGAGAAACAACAAAATCTTAAAGAACTAAAACAGCTGCTTCCATGTAGAATATTACAAAAATTAACAAAAGTGTTTCAATTCTAGCATTTTCATGTTGATTTTTGTAACACTTTTTAAATTTACGTAGAATTTCTTAGATTCTGGCAGTTATATTTTATAATTTTGTAGAATTTTGTAGAATTATTTCCGGCAGGGGAGTTAATAACATCTCGACATTGTAGATACTTAAAACGGTCTCGAATAGAAGAACGAATTACAAAGCACGTCCCCAGACACACATTCGCTCCCGCGTTTACGCAGGACGCAGGAAAATCATACTTGGCGCGGGGCGCGGCATCGTGAAATATTAACCGAGATGCGTTGTCTCCGGCATTGAACGATTTTCGAAGAAGCGTGCGGCTACTCTTATTGTTAGTTTAACCGATTCAGGACGGACGTACTGTATTTAGTATCTCGAACATCTCGAGCACGGATTAATCATCGTTTTGTGTGAAAACTGTTCCTTAAGAAACTCGGTTCTGAGAGAATTATTGTACTTCCTCGAGATTGCTTACGTATGTTTGGCGAAAAAGTATCCTGATTGTCTCAGAGCCTCAAGAACACCTCTTTTTAAAATACCGATTCGTGTAATTAATTTTTTTTTCAATTTAAAATATTTGAAATTATTAAAAGTAATTTTCTTTTTACAAAAATATCTGAAAAAGTAAAACGCGCGCGCTTCAAATAACTTTTTATCGAAGTGCTCCAAAGATTTACTCGAGCGACTTACAGTCTTGAGAAACAGAGTACCTACAAATGCATCTCTCCTTAATACGAAGTCGAATTTGTCGCTTATCGAGCGTGGATCTGCCCTGGTTTCGTTCGATCGCTTGAGAAAAAAATGAAGTAGAGCGATTTCATCACGCGAGGGCTTGAATCTCCCGGCGCTCAAGATGGGATAATTCAATTTCGGCGAAGCCGGTCGCACTTGTAAATGAAATATCGCGTTACGTCACGCTCTCATAAAGTTGTTACGTTTAACCTCGGCCCCGCCGAGTGATATTGCGCGACGACGTACGTCGCGCACGTCCGCCGGGGTAATCTCGATCGGGCGAGCGGCGCCGTTAAAACAAGCGCAACGATCGTCGAGTCGCGTCGCGAACAAACAAGCCGTAGGTGCAAAGCCCCCCCGGCATTTACCTCGGGAATATCGTCTTGGCGGATTAAGCGAGGGCGTAAAATAAAATTCTCAGACTCTTGTGCGCGAGATTAAAAGCGGCGTCCTCCGTTTTTACACCCTTCGATAGAAAATACTTCTTATAAATTGCGTTTCTAAACGGACGGAACCGTATAATTAAATAGGGATACACTTAGAAGGTCTAATCTAACCCGTTCGTCGCGGTTTAAGAGCGACGCTTTTCTCTTATCGCGCGCCCAGCGAGCGAGGCGGATTAAGTCTAGCGCGTTTTATCGGCCACGGAATTTCTCGCGTGTACAAAACACGACGTTCTCGATCATCCGGACTCCGTTGGAGAAACGTGCGACCAAGGGGGCAGCCACGTAATGTAATCATGGAACAGTGTCTCCGAAATCATTATGAAATTTTTACGAAATCCCCCATGTAATCGTTTTGTCTTCATTTTCCATTTTCTTCTGAAATGAAATCAATTAATGAAATCATGTAATCGGTGGGACAACATTTTAACCAGTGGTTACCCCCTTGCGTGCGACGAAGAATATTTTGGATCGATACACGTAACGTAATGAATTGTCCGTCGGGCGATTATTAAATTGCGCTTGAATGCGAAGTTTTCGAAAATTGTCCGGTATTTGGAGCGAAGGAAAATACTCTTGACGTTAACTGAAACCTTCGTCTCGAGATGAGACCCCCCCCCCCCCCGACCCCCGTTGCGCCTTCGCGGGAAAATTTCCGAGAGGGTCCCTCTTTGAAAAGCCGTCAGCGAGAAAATCTTTAACGGAGAGAAGTCATGTCGAGCGTCCTCGGCAGTTCGGCCGGGCGGAAAGTTTATTACGACAATACTGCGATACTAAATATTTTCAAGTCCCGCGTAGTTGCAACGAGAACGCGGCGGCGAATTGCCGGGATTCTCCCGGAAGAGAATAATTCCGCGACCTAACGATCGCCCGGCGAGCCGCGCGCCGCTTTTGTCCTTTAAAGTGTCGCGATTTCGCGTGCACGAGAAAAATTTACTTTGTCGCACGAGTAAAATTCACCATGATTATTCTCCCTGTTAACGCGAGCGAGCTTCAAATATGAGACAGAGAGAGAGAGAGAGAGAGAGTTTTAACAAACGCAAAACTAAATTAACGGAGAATTCTGCTGAAAAAAAGATCCGCGTTATCTTTTCAGTCGACGAAGCGCACTTAAACGACGGAATCGGCGAATCGGTTTTAACACAACACCGTTGCTCTCGTTGCAAATGTTAATTTAGTTGAAATAAGAGACCAGATCTCTCTCGGTGGTTACTTCGTTAGTTGGAAACGAATTACCGCCGCGTGGAAAGTGATGCGAATTTAGATAAACACATCGATGCGATTTGCCGGCTTCGCGATGCAGGCGCGGCACGACGACTCGTTCGAAATGAAGGAACGTTCTCTGCATGCGGTTAATCTTTGTATATACACCGTGGGATATTGTGGGCGGACTGTAATTCGGTGCTGACACACTTCTACGTACTCTCTCATGCACACACACACACACGCCCGTTTGTCCGGATCTGGGACTAGAATCCTCGTCTGTCTTACCTCGAGCGCCTAACTTGTGCTTATGTCTGAAACTGTTGCGAACGTGTCATTACTAACCCATTGTCCTACTGTCACACGCTAACACACACGCGAACAACCGTGATATAACGGACCCAACGAAGCCCGGCGTACGGGGAGAGCCGAGCTTTTGTTTCCGAAATTGCAGTGAGACTAACAAATCGCTTTTGCTCTTCGGAGACGAAGATTTTCGGGAAGTGCTCGGAGAAATTAAGAGGACCTCGTAACTCTCGATCAATCTGGTGCTACCAAAGTGTGAATATCGTAGTTTGACCTTGTTTCAAGTCTATCCTACAAACGTAGCGAAATGAACGAATCCCTGCTCGCGCATTTCATAAAGATGGAAAAAAGTTTCCAACTCGATTAGCGCATTAGCTTTCGGTATTTCGAATGTTAGATTCTGGCGAAATTATGAGCACGAGATTGGAAACTGTCGTGAAATATCGATTCTCGAGAAAGCGGGTCTCACTCGTGCAACGTGAGTCGCGAGACTGCGATACGCGCGAAATCGTCGCGCTCCCCTGATTCTCAGCCGGTGATTCTGCGAGGAATTTGGAAATTCGCGCTGTAAGGTCGTTCCGCTGGGTGACATTTTCGCACACGTAACGATTGCAGGTGCAATCATCGTAATTCCTGTTCGGTGGACGTGCGCAGCAACGTTTTCGAGGAAGACCCTTGTCCTGGGACCGGAAAGTACATCGAGGCTCACTACCAGTGCTTAGGTTGGTTCACATTTTTCTATTCTGAAACGTCGTTTTCGCGCGGTTACGGATTTACGCGAGGGATCTCACGGGAACCGCCACTCGTTCGCGCGCTGCGGAAGAGCCTCGTGATCTTGGACTTGTAATTTGAGGAGCAAAGAGGACTTATTTCGTCCTATGATTTCGTCTTATGTTGATCGTCGACGTTAGGCGATATGCCCGAACCATCGTGCAGCTTTAAAAAACTGTTGTTCTTTTACAAATAACTTTTGATTTTGTGTTAATGCTGGAATATTTACGTTTCTTACTCATTTTTTTTTATTAATTAATTTTATGTTTGATATTATTTTATAATTTTACTTGATTGATCTGTTTTCGATAACAATCTTTCGATATTGGGAAACAAAGACTAATTGTCTAATACTTTAAATACTCTTTCAATATAAAAAAATAATTCTTACAATTAATATCGTACAATCCTCGACTGAGGTTTTCAATTGTTAAAAAAAAAAGCAATTTTCGCCGACAAGAATTTAATCAAATTCTTTCGGTCAACGTCTCGAGAATTGCGAATAAAAATTCCAAAAACTGAGCTTGCCAAGGCTGCTAGGCTTGAATGAAGGTTTACGTGTAAAATGGACGAATTTCGACGAAAAAGTCTCTCTCCGAGGGCACATCGCTCTTCTTTCCCATCTATTGAAGGGAGGAAAGAAACACGGCTGGATCCATGGCGGTACACGTGGTAAGGGTGTACCATGGCCACTTTGTTAAACGCGAGTCGAATCCCTCGTACAGGTGCAACGACCAGCAGAACTGCAGCATCGTTGCGTCCACGCTGCAATTCGGCGATCCTTGCCCAAACACACACAAATATCTCGAAGCGCACTATCGGTGCGTGTCCGGTAAGTAAAAAACTCTTTCATTTTTACGTCAGTCTTATCTGGCAACTCTTTTGCCGTTATTGGTCTTTGCAGGAAATTCCACGAAACTTGCGAATCTTTTCTAAAAGTATAAACAGCAATAGTCATTTCTCAAATAAGTTGGAAAAATTAATTTTGACAATACTTGAAATATACGCTTTTTCCAATCTAACTGTTTTAGTACTTATTATTCACGCTTTTCATCAGGACTCCTGCATCAAGTATGATT